GGAGAGAAGCAACATTAGAACCAAGGAGGAATTTTGTGATAGTTAGAACAATTAATCAGTGGAACAACCTGGCTCCAGAAGTTGTGAATGCAGGTGCTTGTCTGTTTGAATTCTGAAGTCCCAGAGCAGTTTAATTTTATCATTTTCTGTGACTTTCTCTATTTTATGATCCCACCAGTTCTTGCTTACAGGCAAATGAAATTTCTTGCAGATCTTCCAATGCAGCATTGTTGCTACTTTGTCATGCCGCTGCTTGTAGTCAGTCTGTGCGATCTTCTTGCAGCAGCTTACCAGGTGGTCCACTGTTTCTTCAGCTTCTTTGCACAGACGGCACTTACTGTCTGTTGCTGTCTTCTCAATTTTGACTTTGTATGCATTTGTCCTTAAGGCTTGGTCTTGTGCAAGTATTATTATTATTATTATTATTATTATTATTATTATTATTATTATTATTATTATTATTATTATTACTCAAAGCACATGCTAGAATTTGTTGGTATCGGTGACTTGGTACATTATTCCTTATGGGAAAAATTTGTTTGATACTCACCATTTCTGGTGCTCATCATGACTTCCAGAACCAATTAACGAGTACCAAGGTACCAGTGTAACTACTTTGGTTTTGATCTACCTGTTAGATTATTTGCAGTCTCGTTTCTCTGTTCCAAATAATGCGCTTTCGTCAGAAGCTGAATATTTATTTTTTTGATGCTAGTTGTGTCTTACATTTCGTTGAAAATGTGGAACAGAGATTTTTTCTTTTCTTCACCTGTCACAATACAAGGACACGGGGCCATCTCTTGAAATTAAACAGAGAAAAGCGTAGCACTGGCAGCCAGAAGCTTGACACCCCCTGGAAGGAGGCAATGGTTAGAAAAACGGCATCAGGGGGTTAACATCATCGCCAAGAGCTGAGCTGAAGTTGAGAGAAAAGAGACTTTAGGGGAGATGATTAAACGGTATAGAATTTGCTGCCATCGGATGTAATGGTGAAGACCCGGGTTTTGAAAAAAGATCTAGATCAGTGTTTCTCAACCTGGGCAACTTGGAGATGGGTGGACTTCAACTCCCAGAATTCTCCTGCCAGTCTAACTGGCGGAATTCTGGGAGTTGAAATCCACCCATCTCCAAGTTGCCCAGGTTGAGAAACAGTGGTCTAAACCAGGGGTTCTCAACCTTGGCAACTTTAAGACTTGTGGACTTCAACTCCCAGAATTCCTCAGCCAGCTTTGCTGGCTGAGGAATTCTGGGAGTTGAAGTCCACAAGTCTTAAAGTTGCCAAGGTTGAGAACCCCTGGTCTAAACAATTTCTAGAGAGGTTTTCTGTCATGTTAGGGGGGTGTACCGCCCTCTGAATTTCAGACAGCATCCCTTAAATACCAGCTGTTGCAGAAAGACAGCGGAAGAGGTTTTTTTTTTTAAGAGCCCCAAACACATCTGGTCAGCTGCTGCATGAGCCAGATGGATGGTGAAGGAGCTAAGCTTGTGCAGATAGCTGTCCTCCTAAACTTTCCCAGCCTTTTGGGTCCATAGCATTTGCAGTGTGGGCTTGCCATGGAGATACCCCCGTGTGGGGTCCTCCGTGGCCGTTCCTGTCACAACGGGTCACCAGCCGTGTCTGCAGCAACAGCTCCACGTGGTTCGTAGACCTGGTGATGGATGAACAAGACAAAATGCATCTTAACGGCACGTAGCTGACAAGCCTGGCAGGGTTTTCCCGACCCAGGAGCTTGCCTTGAGCTGCACCGAGGCTTCTTTCTAAACTCAGACATTAGCAGAGAAGCCGCCCTCGGACTGCAGGCATTTAAAGATCAACAGAGGCCAAAAAAGCTTTTAAAAAGCCAGTGAAACCAGGAGGGCAGCCACTGCTCCGTTTCAATGTCAGGTTAGATTGCCATCTCGAGAGCTTCATTCGTTCAGGTACCCAGCACTCCGCGGTTTGAGCCGGGCGAGGGAAACGCGTACCCAGAAAACATCTGTTTCTTCCACCTACAAACCACAATGTGCTGTGAAGAAGGCTGAGCGGTAGCCACAAAGACCCCAGGGGGGGCTAAAGAGATTCCCACTGAAAGGATGGAGCAAGGTCTGACTGCTCCCCTCCCTCCTGAAATGGATATTTTTTTAAAAAAACCAAAAAAAAACCATGCACATAAAGAAGAGTAGATGCTTTTACGGCATGCAGTGCGCCATAATGTGAGCGGATCAGGTTGCCTTTTCGAGCTGGGTGTTCCTGCCCACATGTGCTTGGAACAGAATTATTTTTGCAACTTCTAACCCGGGCCTTCTTCCCCCCCCCCCTTCCGCCCAATCACGTGAGGTCACGACATTTATTGACTTCTGCCATTTCCATTGCAGATAATTTTAGCATTCTCTCAATGTCTCCGGTATCAAAATAGGGGGGGGGGTTGTGTGTGTGTGTGTTTTACTGAAATCTGGAGGGCACTTGCTTCATCTCTCCCATATGTTCTGCCGAGCAGCTGGCATTTTCATCTTCCATATGCCTGAATTGCTATCTCTTTGTGAAAGAGGTATTTTTAAAAATGCGGAGAAAAAATATTGAGAATTTACCCTCTTAGCAAATTACATTATTGTGTCATCTGGTGACAGCGAGGGACAGTTTATCAGAAGACAAGCCCCCCCCCCCCCGAGTCACCTTGCAGGGGAGATGGGTGACATAAAAATTTCTACTTCTAACTAAGAAAGGATTCCTCCTTTACTGGCCCCAAAATACACAGTCAAATAAGTGAAATGAAAAAGCTTGCAACGTGTGACTTGCATTTTTTGAAGGAAGCTTTAACTGAAGAACTTCTTTTTTAAGTGCAGGGCTTTCTTGAGCATGTGAAGAAAAAAAAACCAGTATCCCCTGAGTTCTGGAGATTCTTAAAAGTTAGCAGTTCTCAAAAGTGTCCACCAGTATCATCATGTCATATGTGGAAACATGAGCTGTGAACTTTTTCTGTAACTTTACAAGATTGAGGGGGGGGGGGTTTCTGGTTAAAATAGTCCCAAACGCTCTTTCAGAAAACACATCTTCTCTTTCCCCCCAAATTCCTCTTCCAAGCTTGGTATAAAATAGGATACTGTTGAGAGTCTTCCGAGGCCTGGAGAGGCTTCTGAACTCTGGAATTATGGAAGCCTCTCTGGAAAATCTGGACCAAGGCTACGGCTGGAGTTCCCTATTAATGGTTCCCGTTTTGCCTTTCTAGAGACGGTGGTGAAAGACGACATGAACAATTACATCAGTCAGTACTACAACGAACCCAGCAGTGGTAAGCTCGGATTTTGAAACGTAGAGGCGCCTTCAGTGGAGTCTTTAAGTGGGCCTCCCCCCAAAGCAACCTGCTGCCCCTTCATTGCTCCCCCTTGAATTCCAGAAGGAGCACCAACTTCTTCGTCCCCCTAGGAACATTTATCGCCTATCAATGTGAGGTCTCTTTATGCTGATCCGGCATTGTCTCAGCAGCTCACACAAGCAGCTGGGACTCACATCCACCTCCTTGTCTCACGTGGCAGCTGAGGCCAGGATGAGCCCTACTAACCCCTATTCTGCAATTAAATCCTATTCCACAAAAAAAAACACCTATTTCTATAGTTGGACCTTCCAGGGAATGAGTTCCATTCAAATTGATTATTCTCCCATAACATTTGACCATCAAGTTGGTGTAGACCAGGGGTCCCCAACCTTGGCAACTTTAAGACCTGTGGACTTCAACTCCCAGAATTCCCCAGCCAGCATGGGGGATTCTGGGAGTTGAAGTCCACAAGTCTTAAAGTTGCCAAGGTTGGGGTCCCCTGGTGTAGACCACATGGATTTTCATAAAATGAATTTATTTATTTATTTATTTATTTATTGAATTTATATACCGCCCTATCTCCCTTACGGGACTCAGGGCAGTGAACAGGCGATAATAAAAACCACGATAAATATACACGAGTTTCTGTTCTAAAATCAAACACTTAAAGAGGTTTGTTATTTGAAGGAGCTGATTATTAAAAGACTGAATTAGCAGATGATTCAGGAGCTAAGTTGGTTAGTGTTAACAATGTGTGCTGGAAAATAGGGCCAGGCTATAAGTCTTGAGAATGGAGAACTGAGAATGGGCAGTGGGCTTGCGTCATATCCAAGTAAACACCAGTCTTTTAAATTATTTTTGTTTTCATTTTTAGACTTCATTAAAGTGAGCAGATTACCCCTTGTCCAGTTATATTTTGTGCCATTTGCAAGGAGAATTTCCTAACAGGTTTCAGTCATTATGCCTGAACTGGGGGGGGGGGGGGCTTTGAAAGCAAGGGCTGATCTGCGCTACGATTTTTAAAAGTTCTAAGAATTTAAGGGTGGACTGGAAGTTCTGAATAATCGTGTTGAAAAATATGGTCTCTTAAACGGCAGCTGGGAAAAAAAAAAGACTTTCCTTGTGGGAACCAAACAAAACAATAACGAAGGGAGAAATATTCTCTTCTCCCGCCAGAAGACAATATTGGTAGCTCAGGATTGCACTGAGGTCCTTGGTGCTTTCTCGGCTTGGTTGTTGGCTTGCAGGGGTTTTATAATCCAATTGGGTAACCTCATCAGGACTTTGATGGTACTGGTGATGGTGCTGGTCAGATGATGATGCTGATCCTCAGGTACTGATGACGTTACCCAGTCAGGTTATGAAACGTCTGCAAGCCATCAGCCAAGCTCCGAGGGCACCAAGGACTCCAGAAAGTAGCTCTATACCAGGGGTAGGCAACCTTGGCTCTTTTATGACGCGTGGACTTCAACTCCCAGAATTCCTGAGCCAGCATAGCTATGCTGGCTCAGGAATTCTGGGAGTTGAAGTCCACGCGTCATAAAAGAGCCAAGGTTGCCTACCCCTGCTCTATACCCAAGAAACCCAAGGTTAGAACAATGCTCATCTTCCAACCGTATTTGTGTGTGTGTGTGTTTAAAGTCCTAAGGAAGCTCAGGTTATCCCCTCATTCCTAGAAGGGCCCTTCTCTGAACACAACCTAACCTTTGGCCTCTTTACACACAGACAGCGGTGTGCCCGAAGGAGCCTTCTGTGTCATCACCACCACAGCCATTGATGTCCACCAGCCTAACGTCTCCTCCGACCTCTTCATGGTGGAAATGCCGATGAAGATCATGGAGAGCAATGGGATTTCCACCAGTGCCGCGTCCGGCAGCGCCTCCAGGTCCACAGACAGCTCCTTCACCCGCGCGCAGAGCGACAGCAGCCAGACCTTCGGCTCTTCCACGGACTGCAGCACGACGCGGGAGGAATCCTCCGAGTATTGCCCCTTGAAGCGGGCCTGTCAGGTAGCCCAAGACGTTCAGGTCAGCTCTTCTTCGCCCCATCGCAGGGTCCACAATGCCGTTGTCCAAGAACTGTTGTCCTCCTTATCAGAAGACTCCTGCTTAACCCAAAAGGGACTGGACCCGGTTAACCTTAAACTGCCGAGCCCAGCGGGGTCGGCCACGGCCAGCCCCGAACTGGAGCACCGGGTCAATATTTACAACAAAAAGAACCAAGAAAACTTTGGGGTCTTTCAGAAAAAGCCGGTCATCCACTTCCGGCAGAAAACACAGATGATTGACAAGTACACGTCTTTGGAATCCAAAGAGCAAAGGTTCAACAGCATCCCGGACTCCTAGTCCTTATGGTTGAAGAAGCGGTTCAGACAGATCAGTCGGTGATTCGCCAGGGGTGGGGCACACTAAAGCTTTAAAACGGGGTCCCCGGAACCAATTCCGGGGTGGGTTATCTTATGTGGATTTAAGAGTTGGAAATTCGTTTTTCAAAATGCATGAGTTACGAGAGCCAGCACGAAAAATAATACTGACCAATTCTGCCACCTGGAGTCCTTGGCGGTCGCCCTCGAGGTAGAGTTTGGGGGCAAGGGAGGTGAACGCTGTTAAAACAATGACCTCAAAGGTGTACAGATTCTTAAGGTGTGTGTTTTTTTAAAGCCAAGCAGAGACAAATCCTACCCTTTTTACTGAACTTCGGACAATCTTCTATCACAGTGATGGCGAACCTTTTAGAGACCGAGTGCCCAAACTGCAACCCAAAACCCGCTTATGCATCGTTGAGTGCCGGGTGGGTATGGCCCATTGGCTGGGTGTGGCCCATTGGGTGGGCGTGGCCCATTGGGTGGGCGTGACCCATTGGGTGGGCGTGGCTGCGGTGGTAACGGCAGACTGGGTGGGACTAAAAAGTTCAATCAATCAATTCCAACTTTGCAAGATCTTTTTTTTTCCCGCGAGAAGTTGAAATTGATTGATTGAACCTTTTTTTTTTTGCACATGGCGGTGGAGGCCTAAAGCGAAAAGGTTTTATAAAACCCAGCTGAAGGCCTAGGACTGGGGCGACGGCGCGCATGCCCACAGAGAGGGCTCTGAGTGCCGCCTCTGGCACCCGTGCCATAGGTTCACCACCACTGTTCTATCAGGTCAGGTTTCACCAGGGTACAGTAAAAACTCTCATCTCTCTCTCCTCCTAACAGTTTCTTACAATGTCCCTTTGTACGTGACCAATTATAAATCCATTTGTATTAAGTAATTGACAAGTATTTTTCATCTTCCTGGGGAGGAAAAAAAAAACAACCCTGTTTTTCAAGAAGTGCTTTGAATGATGCAGCTCAAAGACGTCTTTAAACGCTTTAAAGAATTTTAAAGTAAGTGTTCTCTCATTTTTAGCATGAACTTTGGGGAAGAAATATTTTGGAAAAAAAATAATCATTGCCTCCGTGATAACAGAACAAAAATGGGCATTTTACAAATACAATTTTAATTAAAAAAAAATTTTTTTAAAAAAAAAAGGCAATATTCTAAATCGGTGTTTTTATTTTTTTATTCTAGTTGGAAGAGCTGATCATGTAGTAGCTTTTTTTTAAAGAAAAATATTTTAAACATGAAACTTTTAATTTAAAGAATTAATTAAAAGAAGCTACTTCTGCTGACTGCTGGCTGCCAGCAATTCGGCAGTCTGATCCTGACCAGCATAAGGTCGACTCAGCCTTCCATCCTTCCGAGGTCGGTAAAATGACCCAGAATGTTGGAGACAAATATGCTGACTCCGTAAACCGCTTAGAGCAGTGGTTCTCAACCTGTGGGTCGGGACCCCATTTGGGGTCGATCGACCATTTCATGGGGGTCGCCAAGCAAGGCTGTCCGCCATTTTTTTTGTCCGCCATTTTTTTTCCCTTTTCCGGCGGATGCCTTACCTCCCTTGGGCTGGGCCAGTTGGTGGTTGGCCTGCTCCGTCTCTGCCGCTTGCTAGCTACGCCTCGGCTGGCGCAAGGGGCGGAACCACGCATGTGCGGCGCTCCTGGGCAGGGAAAGTCCTTGACTTATGACCGGTTTAGTCCTCGACTTATGACCGGTTTAGTCCTCGACTTACGACCGGGTTTAGTCCTCGACTTACGACCGGGTTTAGTCCTCGACTTACGACCGGGTGGGGTCGCGGCATTAAAAAGGTTGAGAACCACTGGCTTAGAGGGGGCTCTCAAGCACTGTGAAGCGGTATATAAGTCTAAGTGCTATTGCTATTTTTTCTTCTTCATTTCCCTCATATGCTCAGGTGCACTCACATTATCTTGGCTCTCGTGTGTATGAACTTCAAAAACAATCAGTCATTTCCACACGGAGTAACTTCGGCCATAACATTTGTCTAAATTATAAGAGCTGTTTAATTCCCAGAACCTCTGGTTAGAGGGATTTAGAACATTGTACCTCCCAAATTGAGATCACAATGGAGAAATGTCTACCTCCAAAAATCCATTTACACTCAGAAACCTGGGCATAAATCTACTGCCAATGGTAACTGGTAGTAGACCCCAAAACAGGCCATTCATAGGTTGATTTTGGATCCTTTTGGATTTTGGATACATGCTAGTTTCCCCCCCCCCCCAATTATGCCATAGCCCCCTTCCTTTGGTAAGTAAAGTTGCAGGAATTGGATATATCTAGTTTAATGAAGAGAAGGATTAGGAGTGACATAATGCAGTGTTCCAACATCTCAGGGGCTGCCACAAAGAAGAGGGAGTCAAGCTATTCTCCAAAGCAGGACAAGAAGAAATGGATGGAAACTAACCAAGGAGAGAAGCAACATTAGAAATTTCCTGACAGAACAATTAGAACAACCTGACTCCAGAACTTGTGAATGCTCCAACACTGGAGGTTTTTAAGAAGAGACTGGACAGCCATTTGTCTGAAACGGTATAGGGTTTCCTGCCTGAGCAGGGTGTTGGACTAGATGACTTCCAAGGTCCCTTCCGACTCAATTATTAAGTCAATATCAATTCTTAATGGTCACACTGTAGAATAATACAAGGAATTTCCACAGCCTGATATAATACAAAATACAGCAGATGTATGTTTATTAGAGAATTAGAAAAAGAGTTCAGAAAATAACGAAGCCAAATGGAAATGAAAAGGGCTAAAATTGGTGTATTGCAAGATCGTTATTGGCACTTTTGGGGCAATTTTTACATTTCTGGTTTGATAAAACATAATTTAAACTGCTTAAAAATAGTTTCTCTCTGTCAAAGAGATACTCATTCCTTCCCAAACATGGAGTAGCTTTTATTTTTTTAATGCTGTCGTCAGCTCGGGAACAACCTGGAAGCAAAACAAAACAAGCTTACTATCAGCCAAATAACAACAGGCAACAGATGTTTATCCAACTCTAATCAATGTAAAAGAGATGCTTATTTATCATCATTGGAAGCAACTAAACATTTGAATTCAGTTTTAAAAAAAATCATAGTAGCAAAACTTACAAGATGTGTAAACCTGGACTGCCAATCAACTAACATGCTGATATATTTCAGTTTCAGTTTTTCATTTTTTTGACCACAGGAAGCTATTTTAAACAAAGATTTTAACTTTTGAAAGCAGTCAACTGGGGGAAAAAACCCCCCACTATTTGTAGAAATTGGTGCCAAGGAATGGCTCCTGATGGTGGAACTGCCAAGGCCAAACTGCCAGGCAGCTAGGTGATTCCTTGTTGTCATCCAAAGAGCGTCGAAGGATGAGAACAGGTGGCATATTCCTTACCGGTTACACCTGAGCTCTTGTGCAAACTGCTTGTGTAAAATATCCATTACCTTTATCTTTCCAGACGCCGTAAGGAGGCCCTCGCTTGGAGAGATCCCAGCTGAACTCACCGTCTGATGAATATAGCCTCTCAATTATTTAAGAGAGCTACATTTCCATTAAGTGGAAATAATGTGGTCGTACAAAATTTATTAAGGAAATTGTCTACATCTTGTTTCTTCCGAATGTCACTTTGTCTCCAGCTTATTAAAAGGCCTGTGTTTACTGCCAAGCTGGCAGGCAATCACCAAGGAACAGCATTAAATTCAGACTGTCTTCTCTCCTTGTGGGGAGGGTCCGCAGGGCATAATGAGGGGGGGGGAGAAGCAAGATGGAGGCCACAATGGTAAACCCAAAGCTCCCGCAACTTTTTATGCGTGTTGCATGCCATCAGGCGGAGTGGCCATCACATCATTGTGGCTGCCATCTTGACAGTGCAACGCCTTGATGATGTTCCCTAGTTGGGTCATGAAATGTCTGAAAAAAAACGACCAACCTCAGAAACCACCAAGGATCCCACAATAACTTGCTATAAGAGCATATATAGGTAATCTCTTGCTTCCTTGCAGGCCAGTCTTTAAAAAGTCCTAATAATATCGATCAATGTTCTCTGGGTAAGAGTTTTTCCAAGTCTTCAACAACCATGTTTTATAGCAATCTCATCCAGCTTGGTCTCTTGCACTTGTATCGAGATACATCTTCATATTCTTGAAAAAGAATGCGGTCTACCGTGCACTAGATTATTGGGCTCGTCAGAAGTCAATTGTTGTATTTACACGTGTGCCTGCTATCAAAACTGGAGGTCAAAAATTGATAATCTTTGGTGGATGAAGCTTTCTATGGCTTGAAATATTGTCAGGAAATCCAGTGCTGTAGACCAGGGGTCTTCAAACTTGGCCCTTTGCTGACTTGTGGACTTCAACTCCCAGAATTCCTCAGCCAGCGTGCCTGGCTGAGGAATTCTGGGAGTTGAAGTCCACAAGTCATACAAGGGCCAAGTTTGAAGGCCCCTGCTGTAGACAGAGACAAGAACTTCCACGCCGAACAAGGAAGACTAAATGCCTCAAGTCAGGTTCAAAGTCTAATTCAACTTCCACCCTTACCGTCAAGAAGAGGAACATGCTCAAGTTGGTTCCTCTGCAAGCAAGACTCACCTTGAACAGGTCAGCTACTATGCCATAATCTGCAACTTGGAATATGGGCGCTTCAGGGTCTTTGTTGATAGCGACTATGGTCTGTAAGAGAACGAAATGGGGCGATTTAGAGAAAACGGGTTATTTACTGGGTAGTCTATAGACACTACAGTATTATGCATGGCTTTGCTGCTATTGGCAGAAATACAACAGCTGACCCAAAAGGAGTTCTCTTCCACTGTTCACAAAGCGGAAGTTCAAAAATTAAGTGAAGGGAAAACCTTTTTTCATGAATGCCTACGTAGGTGAACGTCAAAACGTTCTGGCTTGTGTGCTACTTTCTCTGAAACCCAGGAGGAGACCTATTATCCTTGAAGCAAGAATGTCTGCATTGTAGACTCATCTTGACTTTCACTTTTATCCTAGTGGGGGTATATTGCAAGCATCCAAAAATAAATAAATAAATCCAAATTGCTCAGCTTAATAGTAATGAATAAGATTTTTCTGGGGTGTTCCTAATGCCTGACTTATATTCATATCCCAAATTATAGTCTTAAGGAGCTAAAGCTTAGAAATTGATCACAATGAGTAACTCTACTCAGAAGTTGTAAAAATTGCAAACTCAGAGCTACAGATGATCTGCTGCTGGCAATTTTTGCCAAACTTTGCAACTTTAAGAGAGGTCTTCCAATTCCCAGAATTCCCCAGTTAGCCATGCTGGCTGGGGAATTTTGGGAATTGAAGTCTACCCCTCTTAAAGACGACAAGGTTGACAGACCACTATCATGGTCTATTTAGCCTAGCATTCATAAGATAAGGAAGGGAGGGGTCCACCCTCTACAAAACCCATTTTCTACTGTTGTAAGTGAAGTAAATAATACATTTTACTTGCAGAACGCTCTAGGGGATTCCCTACAAAATTCTTCATAATGGCTGATATTTCCTAGCGTGGGGGAAAAGCCACTGAAGAGACAGCTAATGTGATTACAGAGAGTTCTTTTCAAACCCTTTTAAATAAACATTATTTGTTTGAGTAAAGACAGTATCTTTTAATTTTTCTAAGCACAGAGGTAAGAGCACAGGTCAAATTGAAGTGAAATAGAAGTTTGGGTTCTAGAAAATCTGTGTTAAGAGTTTAAATAGCCATCTAAATAGAGATCATACTAACACAGTGGTTCTCAACCTGTGGGTCGACCATTTCATGGGGGTCGCCAAGCAAGGCTGTCCGCCATTTTTCCCCCCTTTTCTGGCCGGTGCCTTACCTCCCTTGGGCTGGGCCAGCTGGTGGTCGGCCTGCTCCGTCTCTGCCGCTTGCCAGCTATGCCTTGGCCGGCACAGGGGGCGGAACCACACATGCGCGGCGCTCCCGAGCAGGGAAAGTCCTCGACTTACGACCGGTTTAGTCCTCGACTTACAACTGGTTTAGTCCTCGACTTACGACCGGTTGGGGTCGCGGCATTAAAAAGGTTGAGAACCACTGCACTAACAGCATAGCACTGACAGCATAAAAACCGATAATAATTTGATCCAGTCTAGTCAATAATTTGAATTAATGAACTATAAGTTGAAGTCAACTTCTGAGCCCAAATCAATTTAAGTCAAGCTGATTTTTCTGTTCACTGCCGAAGACAGTAAAAATGAAAATGTTCTCCTATAACCGGAACGCTTTTGCAAAAATCTAAAATAAGAGGGGGTTGATAGAATCGCTTCATACACCTTGAAACGGCTTGACTTTATTGACACAAATCAATTTATCATTACTGATACAAGTGCCTCCATTTTGGAATGGAATTTACAACACCACATATCCTACACCTTTATTACCATATCTGGATCGCTTATTACTTTTACTGCGTGCAGCTTAATCTAAATCACACATCTCTATCAAACTGAAGCATTTACTATTTCAGCACTTACCTAACACTTAAAATGCTCGTTCCATTTTTACAATTTAATAAAATATATTGGTAGCTTTTAGCTAATATCACTTCGAGGAAATAGAGGATATGAATTTCGGATCTTTTTATTTGCCAATTTTAGAGCAGGATCAATTTTCAAGGAAACCCTGGTCCACTCAGAAGTGGATTTTATTCTGATCAGCGATGTTTAATCTCAGGTAAACGTAGGATTACGTTTAAATATTTCCGCATTTAGATTCCTGGGAACAGATGTCTTGCATTGGGAATAATCCACAAGTAAAATGCACTGGAATGTTACAGATAGTCCTCATTTTACGACCACAATCTCAAAATTTCTGTTGCTAGTCAAGACAGCTGTTAAGTCAGGGGTGTCAAACTGCTGGCCCACGGGCCGGACGTGTCATCCGGAAGCCGTGGCCACCCCATTGCCGGCAATGGCAAAACTGTCCCGATACGTTGCGCGACGTCACATGACATTGCGAGTGTGACATGTCTGTGTTAAGTGAATTTTGCCTCATTTTACAACCTTTCCTACCACAATTGTTAAGTGAATCACACTGCAGCTATTAAGTTAGTTAACACGGTTATTAAGTGAATCTGGCTTCCCCAATTTGCTTGTCAGAAGGTTGCAAAAAGAGATCACATGATCCCCAGGAAACTGTGACCGTCATAAGTACGAGTCAGTTGCCAAGCATCCCAATTTTGATCACGTGATCATGAGGATGCTGCAAAGGTCGTAACTATGAAAAAGGGTCCTAAGTCACATTTTTCAGTGCCGATGTAACTTTGAAGAGTAACTACTTGAACTGTTGTACTAAACCAGTGTTTCTCAACCTTGACAATTTTAAGGCATGTGGACTTCAACTCCCAGAATTCCACAGCCAGCATTGCTGGCTGTGGAATTCTGGGAGTTGAAGTCCACATGCCTTAAAATTGTCAAGGTTGAGAAACACTGTACTAAACAATCTCCTTCAAAGGTTGTTATATTAAAATGTGTCCTGAATGAGCAATAGTTTGCTACTTAAATATTGCTATTT